CGCATATTAACAAAATATAAATATATTACTTATTTAAAATTTCACATAAGAAAACTATCAATGGACTTTAAAACATAAATTGGTTCTTAGTGATAGCAGATATTATATACTTCTAGTTCTAGACCATATTCTAACATTGGATTAAAATTGCAATGTAAGCTAAATGCACCTTTCGTGCCTTGACTTAACAGAAATAAACTACATCATGATAACAAATGGTAGGCATGAAATATACACTAAGGAGAAAGTGCCTAACGTTGCGATGAGACCATCAGTATTTATCCCCACTCAACTTCCTGAGATCATCATAAGATGCAACTAAATTACACAAAAGAACTGCACTAATCCAAAAATACCTTCTTATTTTCACCTTACCTTCTAATCATATTTATAACAAAATATGAGCATGATTTAATTCAAGAGTTCTCAGCAACCAAAAAAAAAAAAAGAGGGTCAACCGGTCTAAACTGGGTTTCGTTTAACCCACTGAGTCATCGAAACTCAGTCGGGTTAACCGGTTTAAACGGAATTGATTGCAGAACCGACCCAAGTAGCTGCTCGGACTGGGGAACCCACCGGATCACCGAGACCTGGGTCAACCCGGCCGGTCCGAGCCGATTTTTAAAACACTGGCAAGGGGTTTATGATTGAGCAAAGACCATTACAAGAAGTTGAGAACAAAACACAATCTCTGTGGGAGGAATACGAGGGCTGTTGAAAGAGTTTGAGAGTATATTTCAGCTACCACAAGGACTCCCTCCGTATAGAAGGCACGATCATGCAATTGTCTTGAAAGAAGGTACCTCAACTCCCAATTTACGTCCATATAAGTACCCCTACTACCAAAAGAATGAAATAGAGGAGCTTCTTTATGAGATGTTAGCATCAGACATCATGTCCAAATCTGAGTCCTTTCTCCATCCTTATTATTTTGGTGAAGAAGAAGGATGGAGGTTAGCGTATGTGCATAGATTATAGAGCCTTAAACAAGGTAACTGATGAGACCTTGAGATGCACCACCCCAAAAGCTAGCTCAAATGGTGGGAGTGCCCAAGGCCTTATAAACCCAACATTAGTTACCCATACAACCAATGTGGGACTCCAAGTCCCATACCTTGCAAATAGAACCCCAACATTCCACCACTCTTCCCTAGTGCGTGCCCCCACGCACAACTCCACGTGATGGATGCTCTGATACCATTTAATGAGACCTTGAGATGCACCACCCCAAAAGCTAGCTCAAAGGGTGGGAGTGCCCAAGGCCTTATAAACACCACATTAGTTGCCTATACAACCAATGTGGGACTCCAAGTTCCATACCTTGCAAATAGAACCCCAACAGTAACCATCCCCGATAAATTTCCTATTTCAGCTATAGATGAGTTGTTAGATGAATTGGGAGGGGCACAAATATTTTTTAAGTTGGATCTGAGGTCAGGATATAATCAGATACGAATAAGAGAGTAAAACTGCATTTAGGACGCATGAGGGACACTGAATATTTAGTGATTCCCTTTGACTAGTCAAATGGCTCAACTACATTTCAAGCCTTAATGAATGAAATTCTGAAGCCGTTTTCAAGGAAATTTGTACTGGTGTTTTCTGATGATGTTCTAATTTACAGCAAAGACACACATCTTGGCCATCTTCGTGAAGTATTGAGAGTTATGAAACAACATTGCCTCTTTCTCAATGAAAAGAAATGTAGTTGGGGACAACAAAAACTGAAGTATCTAGGACATGTTATTTAAGGTGTTGGAGTGCAAGCTGACCCCAAAAACTGGAAGCTATTTTGAGGTGGCCAGTACCTCAAGATAGTAAAGGACTACGGGGATTTTTAGGGCTCAACGGCTATTTTAGGAAGTTTGTTAAAGATTATGGAAAAATTGCTCGACCGTTAACCTCTTTACTAAAAAAAATAATTTTCACTGGAATCAAACTGCTTTTGAGACTCTTAAGCAAGCTATGACAACAATTTTGTGGTAGAAACTGATGCATCAGGGAAAGGGATGGGGGTTGTGCTAATGCAAGAAGAACAACCTATTGCATTTATCAGCCCAGGTTTCTCTGAACGGGCACTAAACAAATTAGTATATGAGAAGGAATTGATGGCGGTCATCTTTGCAGTCCAAAAATGGCGCCACTACTTGCTTGGGAGACATTTTATTATCCAAATTGATCAAGGGAGTCTTCAATTTCTATCAGAGCAATGTTTATTGGGGGCTGAACAGCAAAAATTGGCTTCAAAACTCTTTGGATTTGACTTTGAAATACAGTATTGTCCGGGAAAGGATAATAAGGCAGCAGATGCCCTCTCCAGTCAAATGTTTAATATGGCAGTATCTACAGTGGACTTTGCTGGTGGGGATGATCTTTATGATGAGCTACAACAGGATGAACATCAGAGGTATTATGCAGGACCTTTTACTCAATTCTTATTCACATGCGGGTTTAAATTAGTGGGAGGCAAACTATATTATAAGAATAGATTAGTGTTGGCCAAAAATTCTAAGTGGATTCCATGACTCCCCCATGGGAGGTCATTCAGGATTTTTGCGTACTTACAAATGCATAAGTGGGGTGATGTTTTGGGAAGACATGAAAAGAGCTGTCCAGGATTATCTGGCAACGTGTGTTATTTACCAGCAACACAAGACAGGCTCGCTATGTCCAGCGGGCTTGTTGTAGCCCTTGCCTATTCCATTTTAGGTATGGGCTGACATATGAGTGGATTTCATTGGTGGGTTGCCCAAATCTCATGGTGTTGACACCATTTTGTAGTCATTGATCACCTGAAAAAGTACGGACACTTTCTTGATTTGTCACATCCTTTTTTCGGCAAAGGACGTTGCTTAGATTTTTGTGGAGATAGTTAAGTTACATGGTTTTCCAAAGTTGATTGTGTCGGATAGAGATCGCCTTTTCATGAGCCATTTTTGGTCTGAAATGTTCAAGCAACTGCGTTTTACTTCAGCCTACCATCCTCAATCTAATGGCTAGACTGAGGTGACTAACAAGTGTGTGGAAACTTACCTCCGATGCTTCTGCAGTCCACACCCCAAACAATGGAGCAAATGGCTCCATTGGGCTGAGTTTTGGTATAATACAAATTACCATGCTTCAGCTCATATGACTCCATTCAAGGCATTGTATGGTAGAGATCCTCCCATTCTCTTTTGGGGCGGCAGTTATCCTTCCCATGTTGATTAGGTTACACAATTGTTGCAGACCCGTGATGAAATTTTGAAAGAGTTGCGGCAAAATTTGTGTAAAGCTCAAAGCAGGATGAAAACATGTGGATATCAGAATAGAAGTGAGATGGAATTTGCACCTGGTTATTTGGTTTATATTAAGATGCAGCCTTATCGTTTGAAATCGTTGGCTTGGAAAGTAAATGAGAAGCTTAATCCTCGGTTTTATGGACCATACAAGGTTCTCCAACGAATTGGCCAAACAGCTTACAAGCTAGACCTTCCACCGGATTGCAAGATTCACCACACTTTCCATTTCTCCTAGTTGAAGAAAGCCCTGTCTGCAACTCAGAATTCACAGCCTTTGCCTCCTAGTTTGTCTGAGGATTGGGAGCTTCTAGTTGCACCAGAGGAAGTTCTCCTGTTTCATTACACTCCTTCTGGTTCTCCAAGTTCCTAATTTCCACCTTGGGGACAAGGTTAATGCTTTGGGGGAGGGAGGGGGCAGTATTGTTAGGAAACCACCCATCACTAGAGTGTATCGTAGGCGCATACATAGGGGAGCAAGACTCATAACCAACTCAGAAAGTGGAACTTGAGTCGGAGGCAAAAACACGGTTACAAGGAGAGTAGAGATAAAAAGGGAGGAGGGTTTTCATTGGGAAGGCAACTTGGTTGAAAGTAAGATAGCAGAGCAGAGAAAAGAGCCTCTCGAAAGCTCTGATCAGTAAAGTGTAGTCTCTTGATAATAGTTGCGTAAATGTTTTACATACAATACCTATTGTCAATTGTTATTTGAGGTATATTAACACAATTTCCTTGTTTTCTCTACACGAGGAATTAGTGTCTCTTCCAGATACCTTACAGAATATTAGAAAATATTTCACACTGTCATTAAAAATAGTTAATAGTATCTTAGATGATCTATAATGAATAGTTTTCGTATTTCTTTATACATTTGTTTCCCTGTTAATTATGATTAGAGGTATTCTATTAATATAAATAAGGCTTAGTAGCATCATATCACATCTTTCACACCATTATAAATATAATTGTATTGTTGTGAGTGTAAAGAACCAATTCAACCCAAAAGCTTAAGCTGTTGGATGAGGGCCTCTTTAATGGTTTATATTATTCTCTAACACGTTCCCTCACACGAGAGCCCGCTGGGCTTGAAGGGTGAATAATGCACAGACTCACCTACCTGTGCTAAGAAAATTCCACAAGAGAAAGGTGGGGGGGCGGAGGCGGTGAGGATCGAACCTGGGACACGAGGCTCTGATACCATGTAAAAAATCAATTTAACCCAAAAGCTTAAGCTGTTGGATGAGAGCCTCTTTAATGGTTTATATTATTCTCTAACAGTGAGTATTCCTCCTTCCCTACCTAAAACCCTATAATTTCAACAATAACAATGATTTTATGTTTGAGCTGATTCCTGTACTAATACATATGCTTATCATTTTTCCTTTTTTAGCGACACACTAATGGTTCTTTTTGATAAAAAGTACATACTAATTGGTTCCTTTTCTAATATTACAAGTCTCTTGTGCCCCTGTCGCTGCTTCTAGCTTCAACTGTACAAGTAAATTGTGCAGAACTGAAACCCATGATATTACCTTTACACGCTTCACTTCCAAGTCTTCTTTTATCGTACCTTTGTTGATCAATGAAGCAATTCAGTTGTCTTATTTTCATGATGAGACTATTTTCTCAACCAGTTTCCCACATAATATTGACTAAATTGCATGCTCTCTTTTTCGCATACATTGTTGTGCGCTTATTCTATTTTTCTTATTTTTATGATAGGCGGAGGCTTAATTATGGTTGGTGAAGGTATCAATGATGCCCCAGCACTTGCTGCTGCAACTGTAGGGATTGTTCTTGCTCATCGTGCTAGTGCAACTGCCATAGCTGTTGCAGATGTGTTGTTGCTTCGAGAAAACATTTCTGCAGTGCCATTTTGTATTGCCAAGTCTCGCCAAACAACTTCACTGGTATTTTATGTCAACTGTTACGATAAATTATTTCTTCTGCACTTGGGTGTTTTTGCCTTATATGTGAATGCACATGCAGATTAAACAAAATGTGGCTCTGGCATTGTCGTGCATTGTCATGGCTTCTCTTCCATCAGTTTTGGGATTTCTGCCATTGTGGTTAACGGTACGAATAATTCAATTTAGTCTTTCTGCTATTTGTCAGTCATGTTTTATAGTCCATGTTGTAAAGAATCATTTCAACTCAAAATCTTAAGGTGTTGGGTGAGAGTCTTTTTAATGGTTTTATATTACTCTCTAACACACTCCTTCACACAAGAGCCATTTGAGCTTGAAATGTGAATATTGCACAGGCCCAATTTTTTGTTTACTTTTTTGTGCTTTTATTTAATTTCACTAGAAAGTGGGAAGCGGTGAGGATCGAACTCGTGACCTTGTGATCACTAAAGCTCTGATACCATGTAAAAAACTATTTCAACCCAAAACCTTAAGGTATTGGGTGAGAGTTTTTTAATAGTTTTATATTACTTTCTAACACATGTAAACAGGATGAATGTGATTCTGCTGCTGAACATTCGTTTATAATTTTGTTGAAAAGTATACAAACTCTTTAACTGGCCTCTAAATAAAGTATTATTCATCTTTGTGCCCCTCAATAAAAGTCCTCTTGCTCTACTCCTGATCGCTTCTCTCAGCCTTTTTCTATGGTGCTCTTTAATCAAGTCTCTTATTTATCCCTTACATGCATGCAGGTTCTTTTGCATGAAGGTGGAACCCTGCTTGTTTGTCTCAATTCGATACGTGCTTTAAATGAACCATCTTGGTCTTGGAAGCAGGATATGTTGCACTTGATTATCGAGGTTAAATCCAAACTTCTTTCTCTAAGGACAAATATTACGGGCTCAAGCAGCATCACAACTGCGAATTTGTAAATTGTAACTTAGTGTTATTTGTAGTGTATTGAAACTTTTTTTTTTAGTACAAGTAAACTGTAACTTTAGTGTTATTTGTAGCGTTTATTGAGAAAAATGTCAATATTCCTCCTCTTATATCTGTAGTCATCTTTTTCATCCCAGAGATTTGAACATTTCCTATTATTTTGAGGCTAATTTCATTTCATATCCCTGTAAAATTGAATAAGAAAAATGGCATATTAAGGGAAGAAAAGAATATGCATGCACTTGTCGCGAAGTCATTAGACAAGATTTATACGAAGAAATATAGCTGCAAAAAATAGCACGAGAAGTCCTCACGTTGACTTATGATGTTACTTGGGCCCTCAGGAGTTGAGTAATTACATCATCGATCTGTTAACCCAGCAGTTGTCGACCTCCCTTTACTACGATGTTAGACATGTTTTCTTTGTAGCTTAGATAATAGTCCGAGCAATAAAACAATAGTTGACTAAATATTGGCTTGTGTTACTGTCTGATTGCAAATATAAATACATCAAACATATCTTAATTGAATTGGTCAAGGCTGGTTGTCTTTATACAGATGATCCAGGCTCAACTGGGCGAAGAAGTATTTCCCACAACCACATGCCTCATTTCCCAAGTTTGTACTATACTTATGCCTATAAAATAGGAAAGAAAAATGACAAAATGTTACGTATATTTGTAAAACGAAAGGGCCCGTCCTGTTCACCTGCAACGTCAAAACTCCATTTCTGCTTGATACAAGATCGAACATTTATATCTTATGTAATCCGATCTGCTGTTCAAGGACCACTCGAAATACCAATGGATTTTATAAGAGTTATGTTGTAAGAAAAGTGATTGTGTAATGTTATAGAAATTCATTTTGCGTGCCGCAGTTTTTTTTTTTTTTTTCTTCAAAAAGTGTGAGCCCCACAAAATGTTGTGTGTATAAAAAATTTTGTTGTGTCATATTAAATGACAAATGCAAACCCCAATGTCAATACATAAAAGCGAGTGATTTAGAATCACCTATGAAAAGTTTAGATAAGATAACGCCCCCAACTTCTACAATCTTCGAAAAACACTGTCATAACTATGTAGATGTATGTCAATTTTTGTTAATTGAAGGCCTCTATGCCACTGCATACTATTACATTACAGTTATGACTGACACATCTGATAGCAATTATAGCCCAAAATTTATGATCGTTGACTATCCGGTGCTTGAAAAATAGACATAAATTGTCGGTTCAGGCTGCTCTTCTACAACTACTGATACATCTGAAAACAATTATAGCCCAAAATTTATGGTTGTTGACCATCTGCAGCTTGAAACACAGATAAATTGTTTGTTCTAGCTGCTATTTTATTATCGCTTTAGAAGAAATATCGATTTTTATCTCTCATTTTACGTAAGTCAATAAAGTATTATTAATTTTTGAAACTTTACCTTTAAATTAGTAAATGATGATAAATTAATATAGTGATAATAACATTTTAAATATTCCTATAAAAAAGAATTCAGCCAGATATAATTATTTTTAAATATATTAAATGATTCAGTTATATATATATATATGGGTCACCACCAGTATAAGTTATACTCTTAATCTTGTCTGTTAATCTCACTTATATCTAAGGACTAATTTTTTTTAGTTATATGAGTCATTGGATACAAATGGATCTATAGTCAAGATTGAGTGTAAGAATATCCTGCCCCTATATATATAATAATAATGATGTAAACTACACAAATCCCGAGTTATCAACGAACCCTTTCTTATTGCTGATTATTCTAAGTCTCGGCGGTTATGTTATTATCACAATTGTCCCAGTTAACTCTCATCTATGCATGAGAGTATAGTAATTAAAAATCTTGATTTAAATTTGTATTTTTATGATATTTTTAATTAAAACGATTTCATCAAAGTTCTAAATGCTTTTACCTTTTTACGATTTTTTTATTCTCCTTCCGATTTTAGGTAAAATCTCGATTTTGACTACCTTGCATAGGAGAAGTGCAATATCCATCTGGATTCTCAAGGCATTAGTACTCTCTTTGAAAATATTTTCGGTGTTGATTGCTGGAGTATTATTTAGTGCATTTTTTATTAAATATACAAAAAAATAATATATTTATAGGCAAAAATATATGTTTTTAAAAGATACAAATTTAGATCCTTTTAAGATAGAGATAGATACAGAGAAGTGAGACTCATATCTTTATTTTTTTTTCTTTATTTTTTTGAGTGAAACTCACATCTCTTTGTGTTTATCTTTATCTTAAAAGGACCTAAGTTTGTATCCTTTAAAAGGACACATATTTTTTCATATTTGTATTATCCTTATTATTATGGTTATTTTCTAAAATATCCTCTCTCTTTTTCCTTTTTAATAAAGAGATATGTACTCTAATAGTACAGAAAATGTGCTCGGTATGTTGCTCTTTAAAAATGTAAGTTATGAGTAAACACTATATCAGCTCTGTAATTATATTTTATTTTTTGGTCCACAAAATAAGTTATGTATAAGAAAAAAATATAGAACTGAGAAGAAGCATCAAGTGGTGTTCCAGGACGTAATGTGATTGTGATCAGAATCAAGGGCGCTAAAATTTGTTATAAATAAAAGAAGAAAATTTTGTGGTATTTTCCACGCCGAGCGTATGTTAAACCAACTAGTCTATATTATTCTATAATAATAAATGTTTGTTAATACCCACACCAAAAAAAAAAAATGTTTGTTAATAAGTTATAAAATTTGTAGACTTGAATTCATATCTTTTATATACGATGATTATATATTGGGAGGAATTATTCTGCCTATTCTTAATTTGCCTACTCTTGCCTACCCCTCTCAACACCATTAGAGTATAATCTCATCTAATGATGGAAATTTACCGCATAAAACAAAACTTTTTACCCTATTCTCTCTCCCCTTGTTTCTCTCTCCTCCCCAATGAATTTGACAAGCCTTGCAAAAATTTCTTCTAGTCACTCATAGAAGCATTTCGAAAATTGATCGTTTTTCACTCCACCGCCTCTCATCCTTTCTCTCTGCTTCCCTTGGCGTTGATGAAATGTGCTTTCTTTTCTAGGTAAGCTTCTTATTTGTCCTCTTAAAGATTTGTGGAGATCCCATGAAAGGAAAAAACAAATACATTATTAGTATATCAGTATTTTTTCTTATCTTTTATTGATTATTTTTTTGGTTCAAATTATGTTATGATAGGTGTGTGGTGTGAGTGTTGTGTTTTACGCTAGCACTTGTGCATTTTGTTAGAGAGCTTATTTTTTGGCTTTTCTGTTAGCACCATTAGTGACTAATATATTCTCAGCCTTGTAACGATTCTCTCAATGAATGAAAATGCTTATTCAGTTTTCTTCCTCATGGTTCTATTTCTCTTAGACTAATATAGTATCAAGAGTTTTCTTCTAGCCCTTACTCATGGCTTGTGGCAATAACAACGTTGCTCGTTCTTCTCCGACTGAAGCTTCATCTGGGTCCTCTGCATTCATGGACGATATTTCTATTTTTTATTTTTTGTAGAGTGGTGATCACCCGGGTTTGATTCTTGTTACTCATACCCTTTCTGGATCCAATTTTAATTCCTGGCATCGTGCAATGATTCTTGCCCTGACTACCAAGAACAAATTGGCGTTTGAGGATGTTTCTTTACCTCGTCCTCCATCTAATGATCTTCTTTTTTCTTCTTGGAATCGCTGTAATTTCATGGTCATATCACGATTATTGAATTCTGTTGCCAACGATATAGCTGATAATCTATTGTATTTTTCAAATGCTTCTGAAGTTTGGTCCGATTTGAAGATCTGATATTCTCAGGCGAATGGTCCTTCAATTTTTCAATTTAAGCAACATATTTCTTCTCTATTCAGGGTTCACTTGATATCAACAGCTATAAAAATAAATTGAAATCTCTATGGGACGAACTTCAAGATTACCTTCCTCTTCAACGATGCACTTGTGGTACACTTCGAGAGATGATTTCTCGGAATGAGCAAGACCATGTTCTTCAGTTCTTAATCAGACTTAATGATTCCTTCTTCGCTGCCAGTGCTCAGATCTTACTGATTGATCTGTTGCCTTCTCTTGCAAAGGTTTTCTCAATGATTCTTCAGGAAGAACGTCAACGTTAATGTTCAGTATCTTTACCAGTTCTTGCCGTTTCGTACACCCCATTATTACACTCTGTCACTGATTCTTCTCCGGCGTCTATGGTCGTCGCTGCTCAACATTGCCCACGCCCACTTTGCACATATTGTCATCTATCTGGTCATACCCGTGAGAAATGCTTCAAACTTCACGGGTACCCACGGGTTACAAGCCCAGGTCTCCCAGGCCCACTAACTATCAACCATCACCTCAAGCCCATTCTGTTCATTGCATGACCCGTGATCAACGATCCACACCCAAACCCATCACCCAATTTCATCCTGTGACATCTTCGAACCCCAATTCCTCTGCTGCGGATGCTCCCCTTGCTTTCACACCCACTCAATAAAATCAATTACTTTCGCTTCTACAGCAGGGTTTCGCGTCGTCATTCGTTGCTCCTTCTGTCATTGACTCGTCTCCTTCCGTGGCAAATTTCATTGGTAAACTTTCTTGTTCTTTTCCTCCATCTTGCTAGGTACTAGATACTGGTGCTACGCACCATCTGTGTATCACTACTAATTTGTTTCATTTTTCTTCTCCGAAAAATTCTTCTATTGCTTTTCCTAATGGGTCTTCTGATGTAGTTTCTGTCGTGGGATCAGTTTTTTTATCTGACTCCCTTTCTCTTCTCGATGTTCTCTGTGTTCCTACCTTTTTCTTTAATCTTCTGTCCATTGATGCTATGACTAGAGATTCACCTGTCATTGCTAATTTTTCCTCTTCTTATTATTTTCTTCAGGACCGTGTTTCATCCCAGATGATTGGGATTGCTAAACGTTGTGGAGATTTATATATTCTGGATAGTAAATGTCTTCTTCCCATTTTGATGTTTCCTCTCCCCTGTGTTCTTCTTTAAGTGTTAAAGATCTCATACTATGGCACTCTAGACTTGGTCATCTATCTGTAAATGTTTTGAATTCTATGAAAAGTTCTTTAGGTTTTTCTGATAATTTGCATGTATCTCATTACTGCTCATATGTCCCCTAGCCAGACAAAAATGGCTTCCCTTCATTTTAAATCCCACACTTTCTGCTTCCCCTTTTGATTTACTGCATTTTGATATTTGGGGTCTTTTTAACACCCTCTCTGTGGAAGGCTTTAAGTATTTTTTTACAATAGTAGATGATTCTACTTGTTTCACATCGACATATTTTCTTCGTAATAAATCAGACTTTTCTTCTGTTTTTCTTGCATTTCATACCTTAATTCACACATAGTATGGTGTTTCTATCAAATCTATTAGGAGTGATAATGCCCCTAAATTCACTTTATCTTCTTTCTTTTCATCCAAAGGAATCCAAGTTTTTCACTCTTGTGTTGACCATCCTCAGCAGAACTCTGTTGTCGAGCGAAAGCACCAGCATCTCCTAAATGTAGCTCGTGCTTTACATTTGCAATCCCAAGTCCTATTACAGTATTGGCAAGACTGTGTTCTTACAGTTGTTTACCTCATTAACAGAACACCATCCCCTCTTCTTTCTTCTAAATCACCCTTTGAACTCCTCTGCCACAAAGTTCCTTCTTATGATCATCTTCGTGTGTTTGGCTGCCTTTGTTATAGCTCCACTTTTCCCAAACATCGTCATAAATATTAACCTCGTGCCTTACCTGCCATTTTTCTTGGTCACCCAACTGGTTATAAGGGTTACAAACTCCTTGATATACAATCCAATTCTACTTTTGTTTCTCGTGAAGTGATCTTTTTTTGACACATTTTTCCCTTTGCCTTAAACTCTTCCCTATCCTCTTTCCATACTGAATTTTTATCTTTATCATTTTCTCTGAATTCCCCTTCTTCAGATGTTTCCCCACAACATCATCCTCTCTTGAGACCTCAGAGAAATCGTAACCCCCCTGCCCACCTTACCGATTATGTTTGTTCTTCATCCACACATCATCCTCTGTCCAATTTCATCTCCTATCATCGGTTGTCTCCACCTTATACATCTTTTGTAAATTATGTTTCTTCACATTTTGAGCACACCTCTTATTCTGAAGCATCTCAATTACCAGAATGGCAGGACGCCATGGAATTTGAATTATCAACACTTGAATTGAGCAAGATCTGGATTGTTGTCTCTCTTCCTAAGGACAAGCATGTGGTTGGCTGCTGATGGATTTACAAGGTCAAATACATTTCACATGACTCTCTTGAACGTTATAAGGCTCGTTTTGTAGCTAAGGGGTTTACTCAACAGGAAGGTGTTGATTTCATGGACACTTTTTCACCTATTGCAAAATTAACTACTGTCAGAGTCATCCTTGCTCTTGCTGCTGTTTATTACTGGATACCAATTCAATTGGATGTTAATAATGCATTCCTTCATGGGGAATTGCTTAAAGAGGTATACATGCAGTTACTTCATGGATATTCTTCTCGGATTTCTTCTCTTCCTCCCAATGTTGTTTGCTGTCTTCATAAGTCATTTATAGGCTTCGCCAAGCATCCAGACAGTGGTTTGCTAAGTTTTCATCTACTTTGTTACAGCTTGGTTTTGTTCAGTCTCAATCTGATAATTCTTTGTTTGTACGATCTGCTACTGCTTCTTTTACTGCCATTTTAGTGTACGTTGATGACATCATTGTGGCCTCTAACAATCCTACTGAAGTTCAACTTCTTACTTCTATTTTAAATGATAAATTTCGGCTTAAGAATTTTGGAAACTTAAAGTATTTTCTTTTCCTTGAAGTGGCTCGCAATACCAAAAGGATTTTTGTTTGTCAGTGACACTATGCATTGTAAATTCTCAAAGATTTAGGTCATTTGGGTTACAAACCTCGGAGCACTCCTATGGATGTTAGACTAAAACTTTCTTTGAATTTTGGTGATCTGATTTCTGTTCCTGCAATCTATCGCAGGTTAATTGGTCGTCCCATTTATCTCACCATCACACGGCCTGACCTTTCCTGTGCAGAGAATCATCTCAGCCAGTTTATGACCTCTCCTCGTGTTCCTTATCTTCAAGCTGCTTATCGTTTACTTGGTTATGTGAAGCAAACCATTGGACAGGGTTTATTTTTATCTTCCACATCTCATGTTCATCTTAATGCCTTCTGTGACTCTGATTGGGCAGCTTCCCTGATACTCGTCGATCAATTTAGGTTACTTTATTTTTATTGGTGATTCTTTGGTGTCTTGGAAGTCCAAGAAGCAACCCATTGTGTCCCGTTCATCTACTGAGGCAGAGTATTGTTCCATGGCCAATGTTACTTGTGAGTTGTTGTGGTTCTTTTCTCTTTTTAAGGATCTTTATGTTCTTCATCCTGAACCAGCTCATCTTTTTTGTGATAACCAATCTGCTTGGCATCTTGCGGCTAATCCGGTTTTTCATGAAAGGACAAAGCACATTGAGATTGATTGCCATCATGTTCATGAGCACATACTTAAAAGACATTTGAAGACATTTCCAATTCCTTCTTTCAAGCAACTGGCTGACATATTCACAAAGCCTCTTCTGCCTTCTAAATTCTCTGTTTTGTTGTCCAAGATGGGAATGTTGAACATATACTCTCCATCATGAGGGGGGCTATTAGTATATCAGTATTTTTTTATCTTTTATTGATTAAATTTTTGGTTGTTGATTCTGTTATGATAAATGTGTGGTGTGAGTGTTGTGCTTTATGCTAGCACGTGTGCATTCTGTTAGAGAGCTTATTTTTTGGCTTTTTTGTTAGCACCTTTAGTGACTAATATATTCTCACCCTTGTAACGATTCTCTCGATGAATGAAAATGCTTATATAGTTTTTTTCTCATGGTTCTGTTTCTCTGAGACTAATATAAATCAAAGTTTTTATGTAGAAGGAATTTATTCCCAATACTTCGATATTGTGGTATCAAGTCCCTACTTTTATAGTCAATTTTTTTTTTATCGAATAGTTTATGTTGGGCATATCCTTTTTCTTTGAGCTGATCCTGTTATGATCCTAACTTTTTATTTTTTTTAGTACTAACCACCTAATTCATCTATGGTGCAGAAACACTCCCCTTTCTCGAAGTTTGTTGTATTTCCTTAAACTAAAGCCTTGGTAGTGACAAAAAATGGGGTCGCAAAATCACTTGTTCACAACTATTTGCAGCCTCAGAAAGTTGTTCTGGATAGAATTACAGATAAAAAGGTGCCTATTCTGGAAGCAATGGAGAAAGATCAAAAGGTGCAGTCATAATTTAGAGGAGGTTCATCAACTATGGTTACAAATACCACTGAGAAGCCATATGTTATTGCAGTAAAACTACAAGCACTTAGTCCCGAGTATAGTTCGATGATGAACCACATCCATACATCTATTGGAGGTAAAAGGGATATCTATGAAGCACCGATACGGCTAAATTTTTTTTTACGTATCTGATACGCGTCCCAGACGGATAGGTTGGCGATACTCATTTTCTCGTATCGGATGAGTCAACAAAATTGATACAGTCAAATGCCATGTTTGTAAATTTTAACAAACTGAAGTGTGTTTTCTAACTGAAGATTTTTGGCAAAAAAATCCTGAATTGAAATCTGACTCACTTAGTTCTATACTCACCTAGTCACCTCTGCCATCTCTGTTCTAAAATCGCTGAGAGCTCACTGCCATCTGCCGTCTATGTCGGCCGACTCACTTCTTCCTCTCCTCGTGCATCTGTCGTATGCCATCTCTGATCTATCGCAAGTGCCAACTCACTTCTCCCTCTCCTCGACGCGGTTAGGTCTCTTTCAATCTCTTTGCTCTCCTCTACGTCTACCTCTCTCTATTTGCGTCTGTGACTGTCGGTTTGTCTTTTCTTTAACCTCATTTTTTTTCTTTTTTTATCGTGCATCAATGTTGTTATAAATAAAAGCATTCACAATGTACCAGTCTATAAAAAAAGCATTAAAAAAGAGAGAATTACTAATTTTATGATTTAGTATTTTTTTTATATATGAGCTGTAATTATTTTTGCTTCTGTTAATTTTTATTTTTATTTTGAGCTTTTTTTTTGGTAAGGTATTTTGAGCT